TTCCTAGAACCGCGGGCTAACCGGTGGGGCTCGGGCGGGGTGCGCGGGCGCGGTCGCGGGGTCTGGGGCCCTGGGCAGCGAAAGGAAATACTTTGACAGATTTCCAAGAACTTTCCAGGAAAATAGGGCGGGGTCCCGAGAGCCGACCAATCGCGACGCTGAGGGTGGAGCCGAGTGGCCGGGAAGGGCCAATAGCAGCGCTTAGACCCGGGACTGACGCTACACAGCGGGGCAGGTCTGAGAGATCAGTAGGGAAAGACCGGGTGGGGGAAGTTAAGGAGCGGCCGGGGCTCGGCAACCCGCTCCCAGATTGCCTTCTGGCATTCTGCGTCGTTGGGGAAGGGCCCCCTTATCTCGCGGTGGAACCCGTGGCAGGGCGGGGGCGGAGTCCCTGGCTTGTCCTCTCTGCTAGCCGCTCCCCCAAGGAGGTCTGTCAGCGTGTGAAAGCGCCCCGTGTTGGGACGGCCGCTCCTGGACCCTAGGACTCTGTGTGACGGGCGTCGGATTGGGTGGCATGGGTGAGGTCTGGAGAGGGACTTAGGGCAGGGCGGGGTGCAGAGGACGGCTCCAGAAATGAGTAGGTCCACTCTCATTTTTGAGGGTCAAGCCGGCGGCGACCACAGCCAGAACGATCTAGACAAGAATGTTTTCGTTGAAAGAGTTGAAGGAGAAAGCATATCTCAACTTTTTGAATCGGGCAGACCATCCAGTCTTGGTTGGCACTGGTTTCTGGCCGACCCTGCCAGTCAGGGGAGAAGAGACTACAGATTTGAGGAAGCAAGCATAGATGGCCCCAGATGACCCGGACTCTGGATTGGTGGCCTCCCGTCTCCCACCCACCCAACACACACAAAATGCTGAAGAGAGTCCTGTAGCTCAAAACATCCAGCGATAATCTGGGAGTAGGGTGATAGAGGTTGGGGCCGGGTGGTGAGGGCAGAGGAGTAACACTCCCTCTTATCTACAGGGAGAACTTGATGCATTTGGTCCTCTAGAACTGGTGTTACTCCCTTTACGAAGAAGGAAGACAGAGTCCCAGGGAACAAATGGTAGGAAATGGCAGGGTAAGAGCTTGATCCCAGCTCTGAATCAGAAGCCCACACTCCTACCAGGACTCTCTCCACCTTTTTTTCAGTTCACTGGATTCACTATGGAGCATCTTGAAGGACTATAGGGTCTATGTGAATCTTCTCCAAACACTTGGGCCAGAAGAACTGTGGGATTGGGAGAGGTCGCAGGGTCCACTACCCTACCCCTACCCCACTCCCAGTGTGTGCCCCCGGGGTGCCCAGAAAGAAGGCTAGCTTTGAGAACCTGGGCAGAGATGACAGGCCCCTGGTGGTGTTGAAGGGCCTGAATGATAGCATCCAGGGCAGACAGGGCTCACCTTGCTCTGCCCAGAATGGCAGAGGCCAAAGAGATCTGAAAGCAAAACCCTGTGAAACTGGGGAAAAAAAGGTTAAGTTTCAGACTTCAGGGCAGCTACTTCTCTGTAGCTTTCCTGAAGTGAAGTGGGTCTTCATCAATGTAACCCTGGCAGCCCCCTCCTGAGTTGGTCAGAAGCCAGTTTCTTGGAATGAGGGTAGAGGGGATGGATACTTCATAACCCACTTTGAGGGTTGGGATAGTTGGAGCCTGGTATGGGGCCCCTGTGTGGACCACTGTCTTGCCAGTAGGAACTGTCCACTGTCTCATTACTATGAAGACAAAAGGACTTGCAGGTGCCATGCAATGGAGTTAAAATTTTGAACCTTGGTCTCTTATGGGACCAAATCCCAAGGTCTCTACCAAAACTATACTTCTTCCCCCTCACCATGACTATTCAACTGAACATATACTATGTGCCAAGCACTCTCAGCAATTTGCAGCCTCATGTCATTGTCACAACTATCACATATTATCTCCTCTTTACAAGTAAGGCAACTAAAGCATGAAGAGGTTACAGTATACCCTAGGTCTCCAGCTGGCAAGTAATGGTTGAAGCCAAGAGCCTACACACTTCCTCCTACTTCCTCTATGGGTGCTGGTGATCTGCCAACTCCTAGACAGCCAGCTGTAAGGTCCTCAGTGAAGTTTCTCTGCCCCAGACCAGTAAATGTCAGAGCACAATGGGAGTCCCTTTGAAAGCATCCCCTACAGAGGTGATTATATGGTCTGTGTGTAAACCAAAGAGTCCCAAGGGTTTTGGCCTTCCAACTATTTGTGTGTGTGTGTGTGTGTGTGTGTGTGTGTGTGAATATGACAGCACTGTGCACCTCATCTGCATGCTGGGAACAGTGATGTGCCCCTGTTCTGGCCCAAGTGCCTGCCTGTCTCAGGCACTGTGGATCTCTCTGGCCATCTTAGTACTTAATTCTGCCCTGGCTGCTCCCCTGAGTCCCCATTCTGATTGCTGGGCCCACACTGCCACCTAGTGTTGCCCTCTCTCATGCCCTCACTAGCCAAATCCCCATAGATTCTTCTAGGATAATCCCTCCCCTGCACCCCAGGGGTTGACCTTATTGCAAGATTCCCCTGCTCCTCCCTCCCAGAACAATCAGCAGATGCATCACAAGAATACACAGCAGTGCCTTCCCCAAAGTCTGGCTCATTTGGCCTCCATCCTCTCACCATGTACAGCCTCCTCTCTCCAGGAAGGGAGAGAGAAACAGAGAGAGAGAAAGTTTTTCAGCCCTGACTCTCACTTTAAGCTATTCCAAAGTCTCTGCCCCCTTGGATACACAGCTATATGAAAGGCTGTGTGGCAGAGTCTGTCACCATAAACCCACTCCTGACCAGGTCCGGCCATCTCACATACTGAATCCTCCCATCAGTGTGGAGGGGATGTGGCAGGTGGATGCTAGAACATGAGCACTAAGAGAAAACCACATATTCTGACTTTCCTGGGCTAAGTGAGTAGTTACAAGACATGTCTCTGATGGACCCATGTAGGGGGACATGTGTGCCTGTGGAAGCATGGACATTGGTTATAGGGACTGGGAGGGGAGAAGCAGCACCTTTGCTTACTTTTCATACCTCTGTATAATTTGAATTAATTGCAATGAACAAGTCTTACTTATGCAACTTAAAATTTTAATAAAAAGAGATCAGCTTAAAAATACAATTATAAAATTTTTAAAGCAATTGTAATCTAAATCCATTTTAAAGAAAGAAGACATCTTCACAGAATATTCAGTGAGATGTCTTTGGCTGGGGCAAGGAGCCAGCCTCCACCCTCAGCTGCCTAGCCTTTTGCTCATCCGGAATGACATCTTGCTCAGCCTCAGGTTCACCAGGCTCAAACCAGTTGCCTTTAGAGAGCAGAGCTTTCTTCAGCTCCCCAGCAGTAGAAGCTTCCAGATAGGGTTTCTCCAAGGCTCTGAGATCTTGCATTAGACTCTCAGGTTGGGCTCAGGGGCATCAATCCTGAGTCCAGCTGGGCACAAATGCATGTGTGTGTGCACATGTATCTGTGTGTATGTGTATTATATGCATGTGTGTTTATGCATATGCATACCTATGTGTAAGTATGTGTGTGTGCATATGTGTAAAGGTGTGAGTGCATGTGTGCATATATGAGAGCATGTTTGTATATGTGGCTGTGTGAGGAGCCAGGAAGGACCAGGAGAGGAGGTCGTGGTTTGAGGTTAAGAGCCTAGCCCTGAAGTTGTGCTTTGGAGTTGGAATGGGAGTTCTGTCATGACAGCTGCTGACCTCAGGTTACTTAACCTCTCTGGGTTTTTCTGCCCTGTTTGTCTGTAGTGTGGGCCAGAAGGGATAGTGTGACCTCCTCCAGTCTCTATAAGGTCAGTGGGTTCCAGAGAGAGCACTTACCCACCATCTGGTCTGTTCACTATGGTCAGCTGAGGCTATTATCTTGAGCCTCCTGCTTCACTGAACACTGCTAGCTTGAAGATAGCCTGTAAAGAATAGGGGCAGAGCCCCATCCCCCATCCCCACTGAACATCTGCACACAGTGGGTACCCACCAATAAGTTGCAGCGCCCTTTCACTCACTCATTCATTTACAGAACGATCACCTCTCCAAGAGCTCCTGCTCTGATGAGTCTGGACATGCGGCCCAGGCGTCTGTGAGTGTGCGTTTGTTAACGAGTGGGGTTGAGGGGAGGCACTCACTGGGTCCAAGTTCCAGAGCCAGGAGGAGTAGGATGGCTGGGAGACGCCTAAGTGGGACCGAGGTCGTGGGACCCGCAGTCCTGTAGATGGCCTGTAGATGACAGCAGAGGCCCATGCAGAGCCCCTGCCCTGAGCGGCACCTTCCCAGTCCCAAGTGAGCCTTCCCAGCCCCCCGCTAGTCTCTCAGCTTCGGGTTGGTGGAGCGATGTGCCCGAGTAGTTCAGATCTGTCCCAGGAGACAGCCATCCTCCCTATGGCTCTAGACAAGTTGTTTTCTCTCCAGGGGTCCCAGTTTCCTCATCTGAGGAATGAGAGTTGTTTAACAGCCTGTGTTGGGAAAACTGGCTCAAATATGTAAGGTAGTCTAAGATGGGCTTGATAAAGTAGAGATTTAAATGTACAAGGCAAAACTACAAAGCTAATGGGGAACGTCTGCCACTCCGATGGGAGGCAGAGACTTTTTAAACTCGACGCCAAAAGCCCAAACCATAAGGTGAAAAGGTTGGCGGATCTGACCAAATGGCAACTCAGGATTCCTGGTCCCCAGGACGCCGTATATACCACAGGGACGCATGAGCGGGAGCTGCACAAAAGGGGGCAGTCGCCAGTGCTAGAGAGACTCCCAGAGCCACCAGAGGCTAGAGAGTGGCGAATGCAACAACGACGAGATGCCACTTCCCTGCTAGTACAGGGGTCTCCCTTGGTGTCCCTGGAAACCGAGGAAGTTACCGGTTTCCAGGGACACCAAGAAACTGGTGTCTGTTTCTTCCCGGTTCCCCTCGGGAAGCCACGCCTCCGATTTTGTTCCGGCTCAGGGGCGGGACTCGGGTCCCGCCTGGCCCTTTAAGGCGGACCTAGCGGGGCCCCAAGTTGGGATGACGCGCGGGGAGCTAGGGGTGGAGTGGGGGGGGGAGGTCACGTGGGCGCCGGCAGCGCGACTCTCCGCCCTGGGCGCTCCACGGCCGCCAGCTCCCGCGACCGCCCTCCCTGCCCCTCGCTGGTGCCTCAGCAAGGTGGGTTGCCGCCAGGTAAGCCCTGGCCAGGTACGCCTTCCCCGGCCCCCTCTGCGACCTCCTACGGGGTCCTCATGGCCATTGGGCGCTCGGCCCCTTCCCTTCTTGACACGTGCCCGGGCGGTACTCTCTCTTGTATCCGGCGGCGCGACCACCGCCCCCTGCTGCACGTCTGTACTCTCCTCAGGCGTTCGTCCCGCACTCCCAGCTTGCCCCGGGCCGGCAGCCCAGCCTGGTTCAGAAGCTCCAAGGCTGGGGTGTGTTGGAAAAATCTGGGCGGGACTCACTCTTCCCCTTTCCCCCAGGTGCCACTAGAAGCACCAGGCTGGGGCCGCCTCTGAGCGCCCCGCGGGGGCCATGGATGGCGAAACAGCAGAGGAGCAGGAGGGCCCTGTGCCCCTACCAGTTGCACCCGGCGGACCCGGCTTGGGCGGTGCTCCGGGGGGGCGGCGGGAGCCCAAGAAGTACGCAGTGACCGACGACTACAAGTTGTCCAAGCAGGTGCTGGGCCTTGGTGTGAACGGCAAGGTGCTGGAGTGCTTCCATCGGCTCACTGGGCAGAAGTGTGCTCTGAAGGTCAGTAAGCCTTCACTGAGGCCTGGGGTGTCCTGGAGGGACCCCACTCTTGACTCTGGGGTTCTGGCTGCAGGCCTAAAGGAGGTCTCTTGTTCAGCTTGGCTGCCCCTTCCATGTGAAGCTTCTCTGACTGGAATGGATCTGTTCCCTTTGCCGGAAGCTGAGACCCCACCAAGGCTTGGGGTGGGGCTGCTTCTTCCTTGTGGCCCCTGCCTGTCTGGGCTGGAGTGGTGTGAGCCTCCCAGGGCTGGCCAAAGGACAAGGCTGATGCCTATTGCAACTGTGGAGCCTCAGGAGGCTGCTGATGGACTCCTGATGAGTCGCTGGTCCTGTGTTGAAAGAGACAAACCCTGCTCCAACCCATCCCTGGTTCCTGGGCAGAAGATGGGCCAGCCATCTAACCACCTCAGCCTATAGGCCCCCTGGAGACCTGGCCCGCTGATATAGGTGGCATAGTGGGGGTGGTGAGGATGCTACAGGTGGGTACCTGGTTCTGGCTTAAGGAATACAGTTCTGGGCCTAGGGCCACAACCCATACCCAGAATCCCTTGAATCTGTCATCTCTGGGGTCTTTACTCATCTGTGGCTTATGCCAATGGCCACCTAGAGAGGTAGAGCATGGCAGGGATAGTGGCTCCTGGAGGCTAAAAGTACAGCAAAGGCTCTTCTCATTTTACAGAAATTTAAATTATGAGTCCAAGTGCAGAGTCCTCTAGATATGGCTGATAGGTATCCTGTGTTTGCCGGTTTCATGACCTTGGGTGATATTCTAGACTCTTGAAGCTAGCCTTCTATGTCTAATCACAGGGAAAGATAAGGATTTGTTGTGAACTTGAAATGAGATTATTCATGTAAAGCACTTGGCACGGGACCTGTTACCTGTACGGGTCTGGAGAGGTTACAGGATTTATTTAAGGCACATGAGCTTTCCAGAGTCTCAGGAATGGGATTCTCTGAGTGTTTTAGGGAAAAAGTGGCTTTTCTGAGGGCAGGTGGACATAAGGGGATGAGGAATGAGAGTTTTCATCCTCCTCTGGGCACCATTTAGCCCTTCCACCTGTGCTAGGATTGAGGGCAGTCTGGGTGGGTGAAGCCAGAGAACCACTCCTCAATACCAAGGCTTTGGCCCCATGGGCCAAGACTGAGCTCTGACCGGTCCCTGTGGTGTCTAGATGCTGTGGGTGAGTCAGGGATCGGGTGGGAGGCTAGAATTTGTGGCTTCATACAGTGCCAGCTTTAAGTAAGGGTAGACTTAACCCCTTCCCCATAGATGCTTTGTCTGATGAGTGACTTGGGGGAACTTCTGACTGCAAGAACTTCCACAGCACCTCATCAGTGGTCTCCTTGTTCTGGACTGGAAATTGGGTCAGGCCTGGAGTGGGTTTCCCTCTGTACCCCTTTATGGGTGAGCATGGCTGGGGCTACTAGCTTGGGACCTTCAGGATCTGGCCCTAAATTGGCCCTCAAAGGGGACATGGATTAGATGGGCTACCACTCCAGGAGCCCTGGTGACCAAGCCTAGAAGTCCCTACCCAGCTAAGTAGACATTTATTACCTTCCAATATTGGGCTAGCAGAACCTTTGTTATACACATTTTACCTGTCCTGTGAGTGCTAGCTGTGGCTATGAGGAAGGAGGTGGCACCTCCCCACTTATAGCTTCTGCCCATTGCCCAGGAGGGCCAGGACCTAGGGACCTTAGTACATGGGCAGGCCTGGGCCTAGGAAGCTTAGCCAGCTCATGACGGGTCACAGACCTCTCCTTGCATCTACCTAGCCTTCTCCCCACAGCTGCCCCAGTTCAGCCTAGGCAACAGTGGTGGGCTCTGTGTCTTTCTGCCTCCCTGGTTACCAGGTTATTAGGCTGGCCTTTCCTCATCTTAAAACCTGAACTTGTTCAGGCCATCTCTGCCCTTTTGTCTCATGCTCATCTTCTTGGCTCTGTTGCCCAAGATGGCAGATAGTGCTTAACAGGATGCCTGAAACGCGGCAAGCACTCATAAAACAGGAAGAGCTGTGGCCACTGTCCCTGTAACTGTTGCTATTCTGTGGAGGCCCTAGATGAGCAGGTCCCTCCCTCCCAGGGAGCTGGGCCTCTTCCGCTTTCCCTTAGCTCCTGACCACCTGCTTGGTTCCTCTTGGCCTCAGTCATACTCAGTGGCTCCCTCCCAAGGCCACCTTCTGCTGCCAGTGCAGCCATTCTACTCCATTCTACCCCAAGCACTCATTGCTGTCCTCTTGGCAGGAACTGGAGGACTGCCTTTCTTGGAGAGGGTGTATGGGCCAGGCAGTCCTCCAGTTTCTGTTCCTCCTGCTGACCTCTTGCTTGTGCCCTCTCCCAGGCTTAACTAGTTAATTAGCACCCTTCAGCTTTACCTCTAACTGGGCACAGCCCTGCAGATTTGTCACACATCAGTTACCCCACCACATCCAAGACCCAACCCTCAAACTTTATCACATATGTGAAAATTGGGACCCAAAGTAAGTCACATGGCTTGAAGTGGGGGGTGTAGCAGAAGCCAGAATTTTCTCCCTCCCTGACTTCCTGTCCAGCCCTCTTGTGGTTTTGGCCTCTTAACAGGCAGAAGTGACCATGACACTTAGAATCTCTAAATAAAAGCAATAGGCTGGATGTGATGGCTCGTGCCTGTAGTCCCAGCACTTTGGGAGGCCAAGGTAGGAGGATCACTTGAATCCAGGAGTTTAAGACCAGTCCTGGCAACATAGTAAGACCTCCATGTCTATAAAAATTTAAAAATTAGGACTGGGTACGGTGGCTTATGCTTGTAATCCCAGCACTGTGGGAGGCCAAGGGGGCGCCGATTACTTAAGGTTCAGAGTTTGAGCCCAGCCTGGCCAACATGGAGAAACCCCATCTTTACTAAAAATACAAAAATTAGCTGGACACAGTGGTTGGTGCCTGTAATCCCAGTTACTGAGAGGAGGCTGAGGCAGGAGAATCTCTTGCACCTGGGAGGTGGAAGTCACAGTGAGCTGAGATCATGGCACTGTACTCCAGCCTGGGTGACAGAGTAAGACTCTGTCTCAAAAATAAATAAATAAATAAATAAATAAAAATTAGCCAGATGTGGTGGCACATGCCTGTAGTCCCAGCTGCTCAGGAGGCTGAAGTGGGAAGATTGCTCGAGCCTAGGAGTTTGAGGCTGCAGTGAGCTCTGGTCATACCACTGTACTCCAGCCTGGGTGACAGAGTGAGACCCTATCTCAAAAAGAAAGAAAGAAAAGTAATAAAAGGTTTTATGGAGACATAATGGGGTCTGCAGGTAGGGTCTTCTTTCCTGCCCCTGTGTTCTAGACTGTAGGGCTGGCAGCCCTTCCCCTCTGACCCCTAAAGCATGTTGGAACCTCCTCTGGGCTCCTAGTGCCCTCTTCGTCCCTTGTTTGTTAAGGAAAGTGGAATGGTAGGGTGGTGGATCCACATATCCAGGAGACCCCTGCAGAGTCCTCTGGGTCAAGTCTTTGTAGCAAGCATCTTCTTTCTGGTTCCCGGGATCTGGGGAGGTTGCTGGGGCTGCCATCTCTGGGACAGTTTCCTTTCCCTTGATGCCAGATGGCTGCCGGGACCCAGGCTGCTCTGCATGTGGTATCTCAGTGATGCCTCAAAGCACAACACAGAAGAGGACATATTTCTCCTGACAGATGGGAAAGTAAACTCTGGAGACCCTGAGGAGAGGATCTCACAGGGATTTGAGGTTACACAGGGATTTGGGGATTTGGCTGTATAGTTCTGAGCCTCTAATTGTGGCATTCGAAGCCTCTGCAGTCCAGCCCACCTTCTTCTACCTTAGGTGACATCTTTCCTTCTCCAGCACTGAGGAATTTCTTCCCATCTGTCAAGACTCAGTCCCAGTGTCACCTCTTCTAGGAAGCTGCCCAGAGTTCCTGGCTTTGGGGCAATGGAATATTTTTTGACTCCTAAAGCCATAATAACCCCCTTTGATTCAAATCTCCCGTACAGTACCTGGGCCCAAAAGCTGGCATATATCAGGGACTCATGAATGCTTATGAAAATAACCAGGCTCTGACCTCTCTGAGCTTTGGAAGGAGCATCAAGAGCTGGACTTTTTCTAGGTTGCTCTTTCTCCACAGGAGAGAGGTTCTTTGATTCCAGCTCAGAGATAAGCCACAGAGAAATGCTATTTCTCTTCTTCTAAGGTCTGGGAATTCACAGTGGAATCTAACAGTTCCACTGCCCCAAAAGACCTCTTGGGGAATTCCTGGGAGAAAGGAAATGCCCATTCATGAGACCATTTCTGCCCTCTGCCTGCTGTCCAGGCTGCACCTCTGAGTAGGCAGAGGGACTCTGTATAACCAGAATGCCGAAAGGCCATAGAACGTAATGGATGCAGAGACTGGGAAGCAGTGGATCTGGAGCCCAGTATCCTGGATGCCTCACCCTCCCTAGGGGGATGGTGCCCACTGCTCCATGGGTGAGGCTGGCCTGTTGGGGCTGGTGCTGTCGAGCTGGATTTGAAGCCGGGTGAAGCTGCCAGGCAGGCCAGGCCCTTTTTCATTTGGCAGCCACCAACTCCTCACCTACCATCTCCAGACTGGTCAGATCAGCCTCCACAGGGCCACTTGTTAGAGGCAACAAATCGGGAGGCACCAGGTGGGACTGGCAGCCATGTATAACAGAGTCCCTGGAAATAGTTTCACTGCCCTCTGAGTTCTCCCAACACTGCTCCTTACCTGGAAGAAAAGAATCTGAGGAGCTGGAGTATTAACTGCCAGGGATGGGCAATTTGCTTTTTCATGGGGATCCTGAGGAGGGCATCAAACCCTACAAAATGCAAATAGTGGAATTTTAGGCAGAAGTTGATTGTTCCGACTTGCTTCATACCATGCCTGGCTGGCCTTGCTTCCTGTTTTCGAAGCTGCGCTCCCAGCCTTCTCTCAGGATCACCTCCACTGGGGCTTCTAGGATCTTTTCCCATCCTATCTAGGAGCTGATGTCAGCTCTCCAGGCTTCAGGCCTTGGTG